CCATATAGGACAATGTGAAATCTGGGGCACTGCCCTTCTGCCCCTCTCAAGTAAGCGGCGATGTTGCAGGCAGAGGCAGGGCCAGAGTGGTGTGTTGCAGTTCTGGTATTACTATTACTTCCTCATTTTGTCCCTGAAGGATGCTAGTAAGCTTCCTTAATGGCCTGCCATTTTTCCATTGCCTGTTTTTTTTAATTTAATTTAATTTTAATTTTTTTTGCATTTCAGGCATTCTACAAGCTTTGTGTGCAGTCACATTGTCTTTTGCCATTCTTCTTGTGGTTCCATCATGTTGGAACAATTTCTTGATGAGTTTCTAATACTGTGGCCTTTAGAAGCTCCCAACCTTCCTGAGAGCCTTTATCCTTAAGTTTGTCTTCCCATGGCACCATGCCTATGAACTTGAGGCAGGTGAAATCCTCCTTTTTGACATCTACCATTCTTGTTTTGCTGACCAATCAGGGCATAGTTCTTTTCGCAGGCTTTAGCTTCCAGCTCATGTGTTTATTCCCCATGCTTTTCACATTTGTATACATACATTGGACATATTTTGTATTTTGACCTGCTCACTTCCCTTTTTGCACCACTTGTTGTAGTCCTGTGGCTCTCTGGTCCTTTCCCAGAATTGAGCTGCTTCTTCTGGTCCTTTCTCCTCTGGATTGTTTGCTCTGTTGCTGGAGGGTGTTAATCACCATCCCCTGTGGAACTTGGTTTATAGCCCTCCTTACTATCTTATACCTGTATTACTTTCCCATATAGATTGTGTGATTGCTATCTGCAACAACTTATTCAATACAAGCAGTCCCATCTACGTCAGTCTTAGTCAGGTCATCCTTAACTCAGGCTCAAGATATTGATCACTCAGCTATTTCTTATGCTGCGTTTCTTATGTCTTTCCAAAAAAGCAACTGCTATTTGCCATTGTTGGAGACGGGACACTGAGCTAGATGGACCTTTGTCTGACCCTGTACAGCAGTTCTTGGGTTCACACATTTATATCGTGCACAAGACAGTAGCATTCATGTGTAATTTCTCACTGGTACAAGTACAGGTTGAGTGTTTTGACCAAAAAAAAGAATAAAAGCTGCAAGACATCCATCAGATAATGGAGAATGCAGGCATATTTCTTTGCAATACAGGCTAAACTACTCATATTTTTCAACCAAATCATTATTGCTTCACTTGCCCTATGCTCTCGAGTCTAACTGACTTCCAATCATCTCAATGAGGTAATCTTTCAGCAACTTAACACTAAACTTCAGAAAAGGTGAAATCAGGAAACCACTTAGAGTAAAATAATCTCTCTGTGAGGGCCCTTTCTCAGAAATACAAGCTTGGCTGGTCGGCAACTGCAAGTGTGTAGGAAGCCATCTGAATGGGAGAATCTGTCCACTCCTCTAAGTACTTAATAGGTCATGTATTTCTCCTTGCTAAAGAAAGTCTGGTGATGTCTGCATTTAGCTGAGGAAGCTAATGACAAAGGGAGGGTACGGGCATTGCTGTCAAGCAGCAGAGAAATAGATTAGTGTCATTTTTCAGAATATAAGTGCTTTCTCTACCTCCCTTCTTGGAAACCTTAGGGTCTCAATAGAGGAGGAAAAATGCATTAAAGTAGTGGAACATGGTAATATTTTGTATTACAGTTATTAAAGGGGTGGGGATGTTGGTGGTTAGAGTAAAGACTGGGATCACTCCCAGTTCATAAACGGGACTCTGGCATGATGAAAGATTAAAATGGGCAATGTTTAGTTATTAATATCTTTTGCATAATGTACACACATATTTGTGTAGTATAATTTTGAACGCATAAATGTGTTGGTAAATGTCACATTGAAAATTAATTAAAAAAATCAGAGATGATCTGAAAGCCAAATAGAAGATAAATTAATAAAAAAATCCCTGAACTGTGTGGAAGTTCAGTTCTAGATCTGCATTTCACAGCTGTCTTTTAGCTCAGCAATGTGCCAAGTAGAAGCCCTGGATCAAAATGACCTTCAGATCTGTTGAAATTTGCAGCTCAGTCTTGATCCAGACTTTGTGACTAGGGGCTCACTAAGATAGAGATGCTATGAAATAAACCCCATATGCTAAAATGAAGAGCAGTGTGAGGGCACAAGTACCAAGCTACCCTCATTTTTTATTACAAGTTCTCTCAGCTCTGTTAACTGTTTGCATTAGAGAAGTATTTTGAATTTCAGTTTGATGAAATAGAATATAAACTGTCTGATTTCTAGGGTGCATGCTATTTAATTATTTAAAACTGATAGATTCCCTCTGTAGATGTTAATAAATGATCTAAACATACATCAAAGTTTCCATACTGTGTGCTTTTTTCTGTCTTTGATTATAACTTGGAAAAAAAATCATAAAATATTGAAAACTTTTCCCTTGCAGCTACAGTTTTGAAAACCAGTGAATCTATATACAAAGGAATTATTTAAACTACTCCATGTGCATGCAGTTGATTCTTAATTAACTATATTCTCTCGGGAAAGAGATTAGTTGTTAGTGTGAGTAGCCCAAAACACATTATTGGTTAATAAAGCAAACAGAGCAGTTGGATGCACAGAGAAATGGGTAGAAAATAATTCTGAGCATAATGCCTTCATATATATATATATATATATATATATGAATGGGATGAATGTTATATTTGGGCTGCTCTATGTCATACAGCAGAAAGAGGAGGAGGCCAAAAATAGGTGATGAAAAATTTAGAGCCATGGAAATTCTTTAGTATAAAAATAAATTGAATGACGACTATGATAGGCCAGTTTAGAGAGAGAAATTGAAAAAGACCATGGTAGGTTAGTTTAGAGAGAGAACAAGTAACAAGAAAAGATGTATGTATTCCATATATACTACGTATATAATAATGATTGGCATAAAGAAAACAAATTAGACTGAATTTGCTTACTGTCTTTTATAACAGAAGGATAATGGGGCAGCCAGTGCACCTGGCATGGAAACAGCTCAGAGATATCTTTGTACAATAGATCAGTGAGATTGAGCTTTTCATGATTCCAGAAAGGATTGGATATACGAGTGACAATATTCATAATTGCATGTAATAGAATGAAAAGTCGAGGCATATATGTGTGCGTATGTGTGTATAATTATATATATAGTAAAAGCTTTGTTATCTGGCATGGGTGGGGTAAGGCGGGGGTGCCGGTTATCTAAAAATTCTGGTTATCTGAGAGTTATACCTATTAAGGAAGACAGGAGTGCAGTGTGGCCACCCCCGCCAGGAAGAGCCAGGTGCTGCCCCGGCCCCAGCCCTCCGTGGCAGCCCACGCTGCCCCACACAGAATAAACAACAGAAATACTTGATGCGCATGCTGGATAGACTTGGCAAAGATTCCAGCTGCTAAACTGAGGATTTGTATTGGCGGATATTGGAAATTCCTGTTAATAGAGTATTTCAGTTAATAAAATGCTGGTTAACGCAGCTTTTACTTTGTGTGTGTGTCTGTGTATTTCATGCTTTGTGACATAATTCAATTACTAACTTTATTTAGGCAAGGAAAAACCCTTTCCTTACAGTCAGATTACATCATAATTGCCTACTTTGAGTTACCTTAGACTTCTCTTTGAAATATCTGGTTGCTGTTGGAGACATGATTCTGGTGTAGAGATACCACTGCCCTGATCCAGTGTGGGAATACCTCTGTTCTTATTTAAGGAGGGAAAAATTGGTTGAATGAGTCATTTTAAAGAAAAGTGAAAATACTTAGAAATATTCTCCAGCTATTGTCATGGGTTTGTAGAAGTGATTATCAAAAAATCCCCATTTAGAGACACTAAAAAGTTTTACTTTGAGTTTGATCAAATGAGTCGGGTGTTTAAGATTTAATCTATGTACAGAATAAATCTGGTTTTGTATTTGTGCTCAAACAACACAGTAGTTGTATTTTGCAGTTTCAGATCTCTTTGTGAAGCTCTTACAGTGTTTCAGATATTCTGGCTTTCAAAGCCAGTACGGACATATACAAGATATCGTCAGAGCTCTGAGGGGTTGGGGTGGTGGTGGGGAGGGGAATGATGATGACTAAGAGGGAAAGCAAACAAGGAAATAATGTGTAACAATTCTTTTATAACTGTCTTGGCTTTTCCTTGTACAGTGCTAAGCACATAATATCTCATTTGAATTATGTTGATTATTTCTTTAAAAAAATGTAAAAGTAAGTTAATTTGGAAATTAATTATGTTTTTCTTGCTTATTTCACATTTTCAGAAACTGCCTCTGCTTCTCTTCTTGGCATAAGTAGAAGACAGCATGTGAAAACTGGGTTGCTTTTAAACACTGTTTAAGAAACAAACAAAATGAAACAAAAGATCAAGAAATGCCATTCCAAATATATAAAGAAAAAGCTTGAAATAAGGTAGAATTTATTTATTGACCGTATCTAAAAGTTTTCTGAAATGTCAGAGTCAATGTCAGCATTTCTGATTTCAAGTAATGTACAAAAATATGCAGTGAGAGTAAAAAAGGCCTGCCTGAAACAGGGGTGAATTTTGAGCGTATAAATGAGTGAGACGTTTTGTGGTTATAATGAGCTACATTTGAAAGCCACATCAAGTAAAATATATTTTATTTTTTTATCTGATGTTATGCTTTGTATTGTGCTTGTACAGTTGTTCTGATTAGACTAACTTCTGCAACTGTGCTGAAGAAAGCTTGAAAAATGGGTGAATGTTTTACACAGCACAAATAATTTCTTTACAAATAAAGAGTGTAAAGTCAGAGAATCGAATGTCTGGCAAGCTCATGCTTTCTGGAAAAAAGTCGGTCACTTGCCATCTCAGTTGGAGATGGATGCCTCATGGAAATTAATGGGAAAATACTCTTGTTTTTTATTTTTCCATGTTAATGAATAAAGTGGATTTCAATTCATTAACTTTAAACAGTAGATAAATAACGTGTTATAGGCCAATGAAATTGCAGAGTGCCAGTATTTATAGAGAGTTTGAGAATGAAACCTGTTTTTATGGGTGCATGCGGCATGTCCTTTAGATAGATTGTTTACAGCATAATCTGATAATGGTGAAGTGCTTGTTGGTAAGTAGTACAGAGGTTTGTTCATTGCTTTCTATAAATAACAAGCTGAGTTAATTACTGTGGGAATATGTTCTGTTTCCCTTCTGCGCCCCCACCCCCAACCAAATCTAACGGATGTTAATCCATTTAAAGCTAAATTGTTGCTGCTCCAAAGTGGGTACCTTGGTTGAGGGGGAATAGCGTAGAGCTTCCCCAAACACACAAACATAACACCAGTGTAAGCAATCATTTTGATAAGATTATACAATGGGAATTGTTTGTGCTGCTGACAGTGGTTATAGCCTCCAAAGGTGCATGTCTTATCAGGGCCTCATAGCTGCAGAATGCAGAGCATTGCTTTCCACTGCAGTGCAGTGATAGCAAAGCACGCTGGCCTTTGATCTGGCCATTCGCATGTGTGGCTAATGTGAAACTACATTACTTTGGTGGAACGACTCTCTGCTTGCTGCAGAATGTAAGAAGATTTGGCCCCTTTTTGACCCCTTTAAAGGCGTAACGCTACATGACCTTTGAGCACTGTTACACCTGCTACACATCTTCTCAGTGCGGTGTAGGCTTTGAGGACCTCTCCTGGAGTCTGCCGGACCTTTTATTTACTGAAAGTGCTACTTGCTTTATATTGAAATGGAAAAGTGAAATGATATCTATGAATCTAGCTCAGAGTTTTATTGTGTTCCTATACAAAGGAAAGCAGCCTAAATGTCATTGGAGATCCCTGTGAGGCTGAGCTTGCTGTCTGTTTCAACAGACAGAAGATGCAAGGAGCATCTTAAGATGATTTGATGTTTTTAATAATCTCATCTCATGGCCAAAAGGCAAGCCATGACCTTTATTTTATGCTAAAGGTGTCTTTAAAAAGAATCCAACAAAAAAAAACAACAGGAGATTTGTGGTTTGGATATCTGCTCAAGGGTAAATAGCAATCAGGTTTATGGGATGGGGAGATATTCCACTGTAGATTTGTGTGATGCACTGAGCTAGCTTGTCTACATTTTAATAAATAAGAGTTGCTGTGTTTGTCTTCATTTTATTAGGCCATATCTGGGCTCTTTACTCTAGACTGTACCGCATCACTGATGTCACGGGACAGACTTTTGTGTTTACTAAGTCCTTACTAAGCCAAACACCCATTTGCCTGAATCACAGTATAGAGATCTGCCTCGGTAACAAGTGCCCACAGGGTCTGGCTTATTCTAATTCTTATCATAGACCAGATCCCACAGTCTGTACCCAAGCAAACCTTCCACTGCTGTCAATGAGGCTTTTGCCTTGTGAAGACATAAGGACAGTGGGGTTTGATTCTCCATCAGCATTTTGAATTGGTTAGGGCCAGATTTTTCCTCTTTTGAGGCATCACAATACTGAGGGGAGGGATGACCCACTTGAAGGTCTGGTGGAGGATCATAGACATCTTTCTCTGTTCCACTGGGGCTGCGCAGTGCCTTGAAGGAGGACTGTGCCACGGCTTCGTTACATGTTGGAACATGGCCGTGGCTGACGGTACCTCTCAAAGGGGCCTCTCTGGCCTTAGTCTGGCAGCTTCTGGGATTTCTGGGGGCCATTTTGCCTAGAATGAACACTTCCTGGTGCTCTAAGTAGAAAAGTGTGATGAGATACGACCCTTTACTATGGACAATGCCTACTGAAAACAACTGTATTGTACTGTTAAAGCAATAGTATGCTTTTCTTTTCTGCTTCTGCTGCTGCCTTCATACACCAGTGTTTAACAGAACGATACGAGCAAGACTTTAATGCATTATTTCAGCCCCACGTGGCTTTTGCCATAGCTGTAACTAGCAGACATTTGGAAAATTATGAAGGCTCCTTGCATAAGACTCTGAGCCTACACAGCATGTTTTGGTCTTTAAAGTTGTATCCTAAGTGTTGTGATGGCAGAGGCAGGGGTTTGCCCTTTAAAAAGAAAAAGGAAAAAAAAGAAAAACTTTAATATACCAAGACACATCAAAGCTTTTTTCAGTGGCACCAGGAACTGTAGATCACCATTTCTTTAACTGAACTATAATAAAGATGATAAGTATGGATTATTGAAATAAAAACCAGAGGGGCAGGGGAAAAAAAGAACTAACAAAACGTAGTGGAAAAAAAACAGAATTCCAAAGATATGGGAATAGATGTTGTGAAGCAGGTTCAGTTTCTAACAGCTTGATCTTTGCTTTTGTGTACAGTAGGCTTTGTGTGCATTGATGTCCTGTCGGTAATTATCATTCTGCTGACACCCATATTCATGATGACACTCCATATCACATTTTCATCACAACATGAAATGTCACTTTTTTTGTCTGTTAGGATGAGTTTAACCCAGAATTGAAAAGGCTAGACTTTTCTCACAACGGGACATTGATAACCTTGCAGATTAGTTCCTGATCCTATCTCGGTATTTGTCTCTCTCTCTCTCTTTCTCTCTCTCTTTTTTTATTATTTTTTTTAAAGGCAGACAAGGTTTTTCCTCAACAAGCTGATGACAGAATAATTTCTCCAGATTGATTGTTTGCCCCACATGGACCTCTTGAGATATTTGTATAGTGGAAAGATGGAGATCAAAAGAGTGCAAAAAAAAATTTAAAAAAAAGAACGAGAGTGAGCGCAGAGCGGGATTGAAAAAGCCACCAAAAAAGGAACCTGCTCAGGTTTCAGTCTGGTGATGAACAGACTTGTTAAGCATTTTGAAACCTGTCACATTTTCCCATCTAAAATCCAGGCATACTTTTAAAAAGAATTTTCATAATGAGTGTCTATTTCCCCCATGTGAAGGGTCGAAGTAATTTCTGAAAAAAGTTTTGCCATGCAGGGAAGTCAAACACTTAATCACATGCAGCAGTACAGGATAGATGGAGTACAGCTGACTCAACAGCTACAGGGGATTTGGGTAAGTGCCCATCGTGTAAGCCACCTAAAACTTTATAAAATATTGACATTTTGGTAATATAAAATAATGAATACTTTTATATTTATCTTTTTATCACCTGTCAGGCAACATTGACCTCACTGGCAACTTTAGCTGTGGAGGTGGAGGAGAAAGAGTTACATTGGGAATCAATTACTAAAAAAGGAAAGCAAATTCATATCCAAGTGTGAAAATATGTGTTAATTTTTTGGTTTTATTGTTGTTTGATGGAAATAGGGAATGAGTCCCTTGAAGCCTTGAGGTTACTTCTTCAGGTCAAACATTGGCAAACCCTCTCACAGTAATTTCATCAAGGAAACAATCTTATCCGATGTGTGGTGTCAGTCTGCCAGTTCCCACAATCTTTGCATTGACAGAAGCAAACAGACAATTTTGATAAGTGAGATTTCTTATCTGGCTCCCATTGCAATTGAAAGACATTAGTTCCATGATTGGAAATAGCATCTCCAGTTACGACAAATGGACATAATGATTGTACCAGCTTTGTATTTTAAAAAAAATGACAATATATTCTTGATTGAGGATAACTGCAGTTTGAAATCAAGACTGTTAAACTGATGAACTGATATAGTTCAAATGGACATGGTTATTGTAAATGTTAGATGTATTCTGAGAAGAATGTTATTGCAGTCTGAAGACAACAGCTGATGGGACTTGACGCTCTGCTTAGTACTGTTGTGTGCTCTTGATCAAAAAATATTGTCAGTGCCTGGCATATTGTGTTTTCTTTCACCTAGATCTTGAGCAGCCCCCGTCAGGTTTATTTATAGAGGCTGGCTCTAAAAATGACTTCAAACCTTGTTTTGGGTCCAAAGTGGTTATGAGAGGGACTCAAAACAAGGTGAAAGAAATGTCCCTAAATGAATCATTTTTCCACTTCAGAACAGAATCCATTTGTGTGTGTGTACGTCTCTCTCTCCCACTCCCTCTCCCCCCCCCCCCCCCCCAAAAAAAAAATTATAAAAAAAGGGGGTTTGGTTT